ATCACCTAGTAAGTTCCTTCCCAAATGACATTGAGCCTTATTGTATTGATTAATTCTTAACGAGTTTTATTTTTATATAATCACCTATACTAGTTTTTTAACTCATTCATGAAATTTTTTATATTATTCTACCAGCATTTGGAAGAATATACCTTTTATTTTAAAATCTAACTAATTAACTTAACGCGCTTAATGTTAAATTTATATACATCGAAATGCAATCAATCAGTGTTTTACAATATTTAAGAAGAGTAAAGAAAATTCACAAGTAAAAAACTACAAAAATTTGCTTTTTTTTAAATGACGAAATGTTAGCCGCAAAAGTAAATATCTGCAAACAAACGGAAAATAATCAACCTTTTACTCATTTAAATATTTTAACAGCAAATAAATGTTATAAGTAAGAAACTTCGTTTTGAGTCGCCTGCAGTTCCCCTTTCGCCTTCATTTTCGATCAGTACTAAAGAAGAGATAGTTTTTCAAAGTGAATAGAATTCAAACAACAGGGCTATACCATTTTATGAATGACAAATAATATTATTTTATTGAAATTAAAAGACACCGAAACGGCTTCAGGAATAATCAGGGTGTGTCAAGATGTATGCTCGGGAGGGACGAAAGCCCTATGTGGTGACAATGCTCAGGGTATTAGAAAAGCCATTTGCCAATGCTCGGGGTGAAGGAAAACCTAATGCGCAGTTTTTCTTTTTGCACTTTTGAGTAAGAATGCTACTCTAAATAGAATTTATAGGTGTCGCACCCTACAACTGTAGACAAGATTTTCAGATACCTAAACTCAGCTAAAACCATCTACCAATTACGAACAAACTTTTGAAACATGATTTTTTGCTTGAAAAATGGATGTGTTTCGTTTAGATTCCATCCCTTGGGAGAAAATGGTTAAAATGGGGATCTTTTTTAGACAGATAAGTCTCGCGTGTTTTTCAATAATTGAATTATTCACCGCAGTGATGACAAATGTGTAAATCAAATTCTAAAGCAAGCTTGTTAAAAGTTTCCATCCTCCCTTGAGAAAAGGCACATGAAACAGAATAATATGCATTCCTCTTTCCGACAATGTCATTTACAGATTATGAAATATTTGCAGTAAAGTAATTAAACATGTTAAAGATACTACGTATGCATACATTTATATGCGAATAACTTATCATAGGCAATTGACTATGTGTTTATATAAAGCGATTATGTCATTGTGGGTTATAAATTGTGTAATCTTTTGTTAAAAATTCTAATGTAGACACCACATGACTTCCTTGTACTGCCTACTAAATTATACATATTTTTGCTGCACTTCATTTAAACTTATTTCTTCAAGTTATTATAACTTAATTCATCGATCACTTAAGGCAATTTGAAAATGACTTCAAAAATTGAAAATTTTTAAATTAAATATCCCATCAGTTTTTGTCGTAGAGTCAAACTTCTTCTTTTTACATAAAGAATCGAAAACTTTTCCTAATATTAATATAGGAATCAGGAGACCGCACTGAAAGTTAAATTTCGCTGTTTGTCGAAAATTAAATTTTTAAATTTAAATTTCTAAACCCTGAATATTTTCTTTACTTAAAACACTTCTGTAATTAGTAACTGTGTAACACTTCTGTATGACTATGGCCAACGAGTGAGAAAATAATGGTCGGGTACTGACTTTTAAGGCGGGTACTAGGGTAGGTGTGTGTTTGTATATATATATATATATATATGTTTGGTACCGCCGATTACAATGTAAAAGGAAGGTGCACAGCTAGGTGTAATAGCAATCTCATGTACAAAATTTCATCGTTCTGTGGCGAATCGATGGAGTTAATGTTAATATGTATATGTATGCGAGACATATACATACATACGCATGTGCGTACATATAGATATCACGAAAAAAGTCCCTTTGAATTCATTTTACAATCCGTTTTGGAAAGAAGAGTCCTTTATTCTGTTCGTACGTACAGATGTCATGCAAAAAAAATCGTGTAAATGTATTCAGAAACGGTCAAAACGGATATTTGCGTTGAAATATGATACCCGGAATTTTTTTGCGATTACAGTACCTTCTTTACTTCGTACTTTCTAGTATTACAAGGAAGTAGTTCTATTCGCTTTCTGACTAGCTTGTATTTCTTAGGAATTCAATAATTAGTAATCAAATACTTTGAATTACTTCCCCTCTGCATTAAGAATCAATTCCGAAATTTTTGCGCAAATCAAAATTTTATAATAACTTGCTTTTACAAAAATTAGATAACGCATATAGTGAAGCATTTAGCCATTTCGAATTTTAGTTCACGCAGTTTCTCCCCCCCCCCTAAAATATCTCATTAGTAATTTTTATAAGCTTTTCGGCTTAGAAATGCTTTTAATACCTCTGAAATACTCATTAACGCCAAAATATTTATTGATTCTTTTTTATATAAATCAATATTATTTCATTAATCATCAATAAAATCTGTAATTTTCGGTTAATGGTATGCTAGTCATAATCGCTCAGCCAAAAGACTGAAAGTTATAACCTGTTTGTGTAATTCACGAGCAGTTGTGTAGTAGCGTCATTGCAAATAAGCTTCAAAAGTGGACATTGATCAAGTAATTTTCCTCGAGATTGAGAGAAATAATTGACATGGCTTATAAAACGTGGCAGATAATACATGACGAGAAATTGCGATTAAATTCTTTCAAGAAATAATTATCAAGCATTCTGGAAAACTGTTCTTAAAAAACAAAGAAAAAAAACACAAAATAATATCTTATAACGAAAGATTGAGCCGCCAGAAGAAAGACTTCAGAATCTGGTACGAAAGTTTCTAGTATTTCTTTGCTAATAGCTATTACAGTTTCTGCCTTTCAGCTGTCAATAATTCAAACTGATAAAGTTCTCTTAACCGCACTTAGAACAAATAACTGTACAATCAAGAGTTAAAATAACCACAGGCATTCCTACTTGTGAATATTAAAATTTCTCCTTGTTTTCGAATTAATTTTGATTGCTAATAAAATATCCATTCCTTTCATGAGGCAATATAAATTGTTATGGTTACATTTCATATCTGTAGCTGGAATTCTTGCCGAGATTCATGTTTGTTTCAGACAAACAATTGATTCATGCTCTGTTAATACTTATCTTTCATTTTTCTACATATTCTTTAAACAGAAGACTCTTTCCGTGGCTGTAATTTAAAGAAGGGATGCCAGTTTGAAATGAAAAGTGCCTACTAGCGATCAAGTGGAGCGAGCTATAACTGAACACTTCTAGTTTGTCATGGTTTTATTCTTAAAAATTGCATAAACTATCTGTTGTTGATTATGATGATTTTGCCTACGAATAAAGACAATACTAATAAGTGACTTTTAAAATCTCTTTCTCAAAGGTATCATTTCGGAAGCAGATAACTCTTTGATTGTTTTGCAGTAGCAAATATCCTAATCTAACCCGCCATCGAAATTTTTTTAAATTAATTGAAAATCTAAATTCACAATAATTAATAGTGGATCTTCAAATATTTGAAAAATCTAAATATCTTCAGCGTCCGCCCTATTTGTGCAGATCAAATGCATAGTAAGTATATCGAAAGTCGAAAAGAAAAATAATTTTAATTCATTTAGGCGCTGTAGAACTAAATTGATAGTACTATTTCTATTTTTATTGCTGAAATATTAATAAAATTATTTTTAATTATTTTTTATAAACGAAAAGCAATAAAATTAGGTTTTCAATACAATTTATTGACACAGTTCGCCGCGTGTTTCGTGATTTTAATGAAAACAGAGCGTGATCATTTTACTTTGTAACAGCCACCCGGAATTGCCAAAAGTTTTGTGCATTTTTAAAAATACACGTTGTACGTTATTGTGTTTTTAACATTACTTGAATAAAAAAAATGTCAAAGTCATTCAAATACGGAATAAATAGCATTTGCGCTATTTTTTTGTAGTGCAGCTTCTCCAAAAGAGATTCTACGCAAACATATGAGATGATGATATCGCGGCAGTGTTCTTTCCTTTAAAGGCATTTTCTAATTTTTAGTGAAAACTGCGGAAAATCTCTGAAAAGCCGTAACGCAGATAACCAGTGCAGTCCTTGGAATACATAACATTAACTCTTGAAATAAAATTCGAAGTAAGTAGGACATCAGTGAATTTATCTTCTTTTTATCAAACTACATGTATTTAAAATTATTTTGATTATTTATTTACGATATATATAATTTCAGAATCATCTTCTGAGGATGTTATTTGAGATTTAATTAACTTGAAATCCTTTATAAATTTATAAATGTAAACTTATCCCAACATATGTTAAAAAATATAACTTAAATTTATCAAACGTATTTTGAACCTTATGTATCAAGATTTAAAATTTGTCATATTCATAATTTGAAAAAACAAAGAGATTAATTTGTATGAAAGAAAAATAATGGTGACATTTGCGACAGTTTTTATGTAAATGAGAAATTTGAATGAATTCATTAATTTGTTTTAAAATTATATTGTTACTGACTTAATAAGCATTCGTTTTTAACAATACTAGTTGGCATATTTTCTTAATTATGTGCATTAGTCACAATTTTATTGTTCTGAACATTTCTAACTAAATTGTAGCAGTAAAAAGAATCTCATTTTACAGCATTCTATAATACTGATAGATATGAATAGAGATGACAAATACGAGAAGAAAAATATGAGTGTGAATTAAAAGTTTAGTGCTACACGAAAATATTCTTCAATTTGACTTGCTAATAATGAAGGCGAAATTTCGCTTATTTTTAACGCTTTTAGTTTTTAATTAAAAAGTTTAGTTTGAGAAAATTATTTTTGGTATATAAACAATTCTTAGGGATCAGTTATTGGACAATGCTGATAAACGGGGAAATTTTGATATTTTAGGGCTATGCTGCATTGGGTGGGGTTGTCAAATCACTCTTAAAGGAAACAGCTATCTTGTTTCGTCCTTGTGATTTTATCAGTCTACTTTCATATGACTTACCTTATTTTGATTCTTATATCGAATCTCTGGTATATAAACGCTTATGGTTCCTCTCGAAATCATTCGCTTCCGTTGCAGAATACCTCAGCAAACTCAAAATGTTCGCAAAAGTAAGTATGTGTGCTTTGTTAATTCAATAGAATCCCATTTACCAGAATGGCAGTAAAATTTATTTCTTACAAGCGAATGAATTGTTTATTTCAAGTATAGATAGACATATATAAGTAATATGATACTGTTGAGCAGTGATACGAATTATAGTAATTTTTACGTAACTATACTAAAATAAATCTACTTTTCTCCGTAATTTAAATTAATAATTTTTTGAAATACTTACGTCAAGGGCTAACGTTTGAAGATCAATTTAAATTTTAAAAATGTTTCTTGAAATACTTATGTCAAGGGCTAACGTTTGAAGACCAGTATATCAGCAAATGTAGATAGTTTAAGGAAATGAAAAAATAACTTGAAAAAAACAGTGTTACTATTTGTTATTGTATTTATATAGTTCTATAGGGAAGCATTTCCCGTTTAAATAGCCCAATATATAAATGAAGTGTTACAATAAAAGCTTTTCAATGCAATAAATTGAAAATTACTTTTTTCCAGACGTTTCATTTCCATTTATATCAAATAAAGGAAAAAATCTAGAAAACAATTCTACATTTTTATGACATTTAATGTATCTAAATATTTAACTAAAATTCCTTTGACAGGTGTTTGCAAACATAAACAAAGAAAATTGAATGCTGAAATCTTTTTAAGAAAGGCAGCTTTGAAAAATATAATGTAATAATATTTTATATATTCTCTAAATTTGAAATTCGTAGCATCAGAAATTACTTTTTGAAAGATTTGAGGTATCAATATCCTTGTAACGTAAAAAAAAATCTTCTGGAAACTTCTGTGACACATTGTAAATATTTATTAGAATTTCTGGATTTTAGTTAAAAGTCCCTTCATTAGCGGTTGCTTTAAAGTAAATTTGTAAATTTCAAATAAAACCAAATATTTACATCTCTCACATATATGTATATAAATGTATCGCCATTTGTATGAATCATGAAGAACAAAATGTAATATTTATTAAATGCTATAATGTAAAGAGATACAGAAGCTCTCAGAGCGCACTTATTGCTGTGTTTTGCTCTAGATAAATGCTTATGCTCTTCTAATAGGCAAAGTAGAATTTATTTAAAACAAAAATTAAAGAATAGATACAAAGTTTTTCAACACATGCACGCCATCGCTGTAAGTTAAAATTTTTTGCTCTGTTGTCGTTCATCAGCTCGTTTAATGCATGATTTCAAATTATACGCATAAGAGCTTTATGGTTTTATTTATATCAGAGCCAATATCTTTCAGTCCGAGAAAAGCATTAAAAACGAATTTTCTCACAAAATAAACATGTATATTTAAATCAATCTTATGATTTGAATTTTTGCTTAGTGAATGGCATGCATTCAATTAAATGTACTATACATTGTTGTCTATTTAAATACTAAATAAAAGTAATATCAAGTATTATAAGTAAACTTATTTTACGTTAATTAAAGTAACAGTAGTTACGATTATATGGCTAATCTTCCATAAGCGGGGAAAGTTGGAACCAAACTATTTTGGCTTTTAAAATTTGGCGAATATTTTTGGCGGCAGTGAGAGCCCTAAAATGGGATTTTTAAACGTAAACAGAATAGTAACTTGTAAGTTTTACAGTACTAAAACGCCGTTGTTTTTATGCAAGCAAAACAGTAAAATGAGATGATAAAATACTATATGAGTAAAACAAAGTCCATCAGCTTTGCAAGTAAAAATAATGTCCTATCTATGTAATTCCTGATAAAATAATACAATGAATAATAAAATAATAAATTGTATAACACTTTCTTCGGACTCCAAAATTGTCAACCAATTAAATATATTCAAATTCACTAACAACGGATGCATCATAAACTCACTAAAATATACATGTTATCTATGTAATTCCTGATTATTAGTTATTATCGTCGTAGAATTCATCACACTAAATAACTTTCTTTCAAAACTTTAAACATTTCACATCTTTCGATTGCCACATGCAAGAAACAAAACTTAAAAGAAATACTTAACTAATCCGTAAAACATTAACTAAATAAAATTAAATGAAAACATTAATAAATTATAAACTTCACGTCCTCTGAAATCCAACATTCTCCCACCAACAACAGCTTAACCTCCTGCAAATATTAAGCAATAAAACTTTTAAAAGCAAACACGGTATTTCAAAATTAAATTTAAAAAAATCTTCTGGCTACACTAAGCACTCAGCAATCACCGAAATAGAGCTCTAAGTTTGCCACAGGAAAATATACACCCGGAAACTACAAACCAAAATCGCACCAAATTAAAAACTCTCGCCAAGTTTCGCGCTCACTCCTATTGTGGAAAATTAACCGACTATAATAATAGTCCAAATTTAAGAATATGAACTGATAATTCCTTGAATGTTGTCAATATTATTTTCAAAAGATGCAGTAAATTGGAACATTTATTAAAGAATAAGAATAACAACAATTTCACAGCCTATTGAATTGAATTATGCAATTACTCATTGAAGAAGCACAGTTGAAAGGTAAGGAAAGTGAAGATCGTTAAATGAAAAAGTTTATTCTGGGTTTCATATTGCCAGTCTGGTTTGCACAGCGAGTATTGCAGCTCGCTGTGCTAGGAATGTGTTCTTACAATGTATAATTTAAGAGCGAACACATTTTATTGTAAATTCATCCATGTACGGATAGCACGTCAGACCTTAGCTGGAAAGCTCTCATGTGTAATAAAATGCCTAATGAGAAGATTTCATGTATTTGTAGTCATAAAATGTTTGATGCCATCTTTCTACAGTGGTTGTTGACAGTTTTAAAACAACACTGTGGTATTATAATGCTGAACACTAACAGAAATATTTTACTTTTTTCATTATCCAGGTTCTTGTACTTTTCGCTGTCTTCGCAGCTACACAAGCTAGTGGCCTCATTGGAACCGGATATGGATTGGGAGCTGGCTATGGATATGGAGCTGGATATGGATTGGGAGCTGGCTATGGATATGGAGCTGGATATGGATTAGCCGGTGCACCAGCCCTTGTTGGAACGGCTGTCGTTCCCGCAGTCTCCTCTTCCAAAACCGCCATCAACCACATCGCCCCTGTCGGAATTGCTGCCGCTCCCGTCACCTTGGCTGCTGCTCCTGTTGCTGTAGCTGCTGCTCCATTGGGTCTTGCTGGACATGGAATCGCCGCCGCTCCTCTAGCTTATGGAAACGGACTGATCGGTAACGGTCTCCTCGGTGCTGGTATTGTAGGCCACGGAAATGCTGCTGCTCCCCTTGCTTATGGCAACGGACTTCTCGGTTTGGGAGCTGGAAAACTTGCCCTTGGAGGCGGACTTGCCAAGGCAATCTTGTAAATATCCTACCAAAATCGCGACTGCGATTTCCTTTGTAAATGTGAATTAAATTATTAAACATATTACAATAAATCGCTCATTTTAGATCGACTTTATTTATTTAGAATTGACATAATTTTCTTCTAAAGGAAAAATTAGGTTTTAAAACTTCGTTGTACTTCGAAACTGTTTCATTCAAAATATTTAAAAAATTGTGCGAATAGTGAAAACAGAATAAAAATCCCACTGTATACTTGGCTTTTGTACTGAGAATGGAGTGAAAATTTTAATATTTTTCGTAAATTAGAAAAATTATGCACATAATGTTGAACATAGAAAATGCCGTGGTTCACAAAACAAATATTTATTACTGAGATACGCAGAGTTACATGCAGAGAAATACAAGCAAGCAGAGAGAGAAAACGTTTACAGAAGTTATATATATAACTTAACAACATATCAGGGTTTAAGAAATCATAAAGAAGGCACAATAAATAACCAATAAAAAATAACATAAGGAATGGGATAAAGTTTCAGAATAATTCGGACCTGACTGAAAGCTAATGAATGTATCGAACGTGACAGAAAGCTATACTTCCTTTTAACCAGTAAGAATGCGATTAGAAATCTCTCAACACTCCGCCTTAATCGCACATTATACAAAACAGAAAAGAATTACACAATTTTTAAACAGATCAATGATAACAGGTCATAAAATTTTGTTTTGGACAAAGCCTTAGTTAACATATCTGCAATTTGTAAACCTGATTGTGCATATTCAATTCTAATATTATTTTCCTTAACAGTCTTATGAGTGAACTTTAATTTTATATCTATATGTTTAAACTTACCTGAAATATTTTCATTAACAATACTTTTGAATACATGACTTGGTTATCTTCAAAATTATAAACAATTTTCAACACTGGAAATATCATTTACATTTTTTATCCATAAAACATCTTGAATACCTTTGCATAATGCAATTATTTCAGCTTCTGTTGATGAAAAGTACAATACATATTTGCTTGTTACAGCACCACATAATAGGACAGTTTGAAAACGTTATAAAATAACCAGTAATTGATTTTTTTATCTTGAATATCTCCCCCAAACTGCATCTACATACAAACAAAGTTTGCCCTTTCCAAATCACCCTTTTTGTATATCAATTTTAAATTAAGGTTGTTTTTCAAGTACCTAAGAATTCTTTTTAGAGCACCCATGCAACATCAGTAGGATGCTCCTGCAGTTGGCTTAAGCATTTACTGCAAATAAAATATCTGGCCTTGTAATATATGCTAAGTAAAGATCCAATTAATTTTTTGTATGGGTCATGAAATGCATTTCCTTTCTGAAAATCAGCTGCTGCTTAGATTTTGGTTCAATGGGAGTTTGGGCTGTTTTACAATCAGGGCATTTTAAATTTATCAAGTACTAATTTTTTAATGTGTGGTTTCTGATCTAAATATAAACAACCAGACTCAAACTTCAGTCTAATGCTTAAAAATTCTGAGACATTTTCAGATTTTGACATTTGAAATTCATTTAGATAACAATAGATATTACAATTTGTTTTTCACATCCGAACCTGAAATAATAAGTCATCTACATGAAGAGCCATAATTACTATTCTTACAGTTTAGATTTCTGATAAAAATACATGGTTCAGAGTCCAATTGCTTAAAATCTAATTTAATAACAAAATTAAGAAATTTCTGATACCATTGTCGAGGAGACTGTTTAAGACCATGTAAACTCTTTTCAAGTTTACATTTCTTACCACTTATATCATTATATCCTTTTGGCTGGTCCATGTAGATGATTTCGTCTAACTTACCTTTCAAGAAAGCTGTCTTGACATCTCAAGTAAAAGTTTGCATTATTGATAATTACTAGGATTAAACGTAAAGAGCATATACTGGAGAAAACGTGTCTGTGTAGTCTATGCCTTCCTTTTGCATAAAGCCATGAGCAACAAGCCTGGCTTTGTAAGTTACATCTCGTTTTTTACGTAGAACCCATTTGCAGGAAATAGCTCTTTTATCAGGGGGTAAACTTTCTAGGTCCCAGGCGTCATTATCTTCCATAGATTTCATTTCCTCGTCCATAGCTCTTTTCCACTGTTCTTGTTCTATTTGTAGTAGATTTACAATATCTTCAAATGTCAGAGTGTCTTGTTGTGCAAACATTACTTGGTAAATCTCAGGATTAGGATACCTAACTGGTTGTTTCTTTTCTCTTGTAGATTTCCCTTGTTCCTCCTTATTTTTAGCGTTTAATTAGACGTTATCAGTGTCTGAAATTGATTTGTCTTCGTTTTTAATATATCATTGTCATTTTCACGCAAATCAGAACTATCGGAAATGTATTTTTGATTTTCTACTTTCTTCGTTTCTTCATTAAATTTAACATTTCTGGAAACAACGATGCGTCTTGTTTCTGGAATCATTAAATGGAATAACCATTGTGGAATAACCTACAAATATCATTCTGACAGATTTTTTATCTAGTTTCTTTATTTGCGATGGTGGCATAAGAGTATAAGCATCACAGCCAAATACACGCATGTTTGTTAAATCAGGATTTTCACAATACTTCAGAAAATAAGGAACACGATTTTCAATTGAACAATTTGGGAGTCGATTATTTATATAAGCAGCCGTACGTACTGCTTCAGCCCAAAGGAAGTTTGGTAAATTTGCCTCAAGTATCATTGCTCTAGCTTTTTCCAGTACAGTTCTATTTGCTCTTTCAGCAACACCATTTAGAAAAGGTGTATAGGGAGGTGCAGTATCTATTTTTACATCTGCTCTTTTAGCAACATCATGCAATTCTCCACTGACATTTTCTTTGGCATTGTCACAGCGCAGTTTTGTAACAGTTGGATTCAATTTAAAGAATAGTGTTAAGTTAGAATATAGCGCCACCTATTGGATAGGGAGAGAAACTCTCACTTGGCCATCTGGATTCGGCTAAGCAACATGCCAGAGCATGTATTAGATCTGAATAGTTAATTACTGTAAATAAATTAGTTAGTTCTTTTGCTATACAGTCCACTTATTAGTTTAGAAACATAGTACATGGTCCGTCGAGCCGGAGAAGTGAACAAAATGCTGGCATTAGATAGAAACAAAACTTCGTTAAAAGCGAAACTAACTAGGTTAGAAAATGTAGTGAAGGAATATGATGATAGTTCGAATAAGAATGAAATCAAATAAAGTATAGATCGCTACAAAGCATTCAAATGGATATTAGAAACTTGAGGATTAGATATTTCGAAAACGTTGATGAAAAAGATGTCACAGCCATCGATGAAGAAATCGCCGAAATGGAAGAAAGAACGGAAGTTCTAGAGGTAAGAATTATGGAAATTCTATCATCTATAGCACATTCTGAAAATGAAATGATTGTAGTAAATTTGATCCTAAAGTACAAATACGTTTTGCCAGAATTACCAATTCCTAAGTTTTCTGGTAATATACCGAATGGAATATTTTAAGATTCAATTCGAAAACATCATAGCGATAACACGCAATTAACAGAAGTTCAGAAACTCTATACATTTAAAGCTGCATTAACTGATGAAGCAAAAATCTTGAAAACTGTTGATGATACTTTTATTCTCTATTAAAGCTCTTCAAGATAGGTATGAAAATAAAAGAATATTAATTGAGACGCATATAAAGTCAATAATGGATTTACGTACTTTAACATTCGAATCGTCTAAAGGAATAAGATATGTATTAGATAATGTTACTAAAACGTTAGGGCTTTGAATGTTTTAAAATATGAAAAAATAATTTATCGGATATTCTGTTATTAAATATCGTACTTCAGAAACTAGATTTCGAAACGCGCAAACAATTTGAACTAAGCATTAATGCTACGGAAGTTTCCTACGTTTGATGAATTAATTTCGTTTTTAGAGAAAAGATGTCAGTTATTGGATAACATTAACCGTAGTATTAATAAAATGAAATATCCGTTAGAAAAAAGTTCGAATCAAAGGCTCTGATGGTTAAAACCGATAGTGTTTCGATTGTGTTATATGCAAAAATAATAATCATCCACTGCATAATGTGATTCATTTTGAAATAAATCCAAATCAAAGATATGAAATAGTTAAAACCCATAAATCGGTGTCTAAACTGTCTCAGTAACGAGCATTTAATCGCAAAATGCAATTCTAAGTTCAGATGTTTCGGATGCCATAAAAACCCATTCATTAATACATCGCCTGCTCAGAAATGGCGCCATTCGACATAAGTTAGACAAAACAAAAACGGAGCAACGAGTGACGAAATTATAAACAAGAACGCAGATGTCTCTAATAAAAAATCAATCAAGTTGTCTTTTGACACGCAGAAAAACGTTTTATTGGCGACTGCAATAATATATATTTGCAATTCCGAAGAAAAAGAATCCAGTTCGCGCAATACTTGATAACGGCAGCATGAGTTGTTTCCTGTGTGAAGGAGTTGCTAATTTGTTAAATATAAAGAAAGAAAGAATTTATGCATCTGTATCCGGAATTAAGAGAACGTTTAAATATTAATTATCAACTAGATGTACAGATTTCGAATAAGGATTTAACATATGTAAGATCAGTTAATTGCTTAGTTATTTCTAAAATAACCAATGTAACTCCATCAAGGTTTTAGATGTGAAGTCATTAAATATTCCCATTGATATTGAATTAGCGGAACCGCAATTTGGAACACCTAACAAAATAGATATGTTACTAGGGGCCGAATTGTTCTTTGAGATTTTAAAACAAGGAAATTTCAATTAGAAAATCAACCGTTGATATTCCAAGAAACAGTTTTTGGATATATCGCGTCTGGTGCATGCAAGAGTGACTCAGAAGTAAATTATTGTGGTTTAGTTCTAATAGTGAAGAAAGAGTGAAGAAATTTTGCAAAGATTTTGGGAAGTTGAATCCATTGAAAATATCGAGGATGCTTTGAGTGAAGAAAAAAATACTGTGAAGAACATTTCAAGCGTACTCACTATAGACAAAAATGATGGAAGATACGTAGTTCAGTTACCATAAGGGAAGGTATAGAATTAGGAGAATCGAAAACGCTGGCTGATAAAAGATT